ACAGATTTTCAAAAGAGAAGACAGCTTTCACACTATTCCTAATAAGTCCTATGAAATGGGTCAGAGGGCTTTTAGCGCTGAAAGTGACTCCCAAAACAAAAGTCAAATCACATTAGCTGCATAACACAAGAGAGGACACCCAAAGGACTCTTACACACAACGGCAAAAAGGGTAGCACACTGTAACAACGTGCAAAAACAGACACCTGTACATTGTGCCGCAGATAAATTAACACTGACATGTAGCACAAAAAATGCATTTCACAAGCATTAGGATACTACAGAGAATAAAACTGTTGTATTCGGTCAGCTTTAGTTACAACATGGTCAATAGTAGGGTCAGTGACAAATAAGGGTTGGCAAGATGAGCAATTCAGAAATATCTTCAAAAATAGTTTTCAAAGCATGCATCAGATTTGTTAAAATGTACATTCTGTATTTTTGTTGGTTTTATGTCATTTGAAATGACATTTGCACTATTTTTTATGAAAAGTAAGACTGAATGCTCCTGAAAATTATAAATGGTGTAACCACAAAAGAATGATAAATATTAAATATTTTATCCACCTACAGTAGATTTAAGTGTACTTATAAAAAATCTTTATTTCAAAAGCATTAAATTGAAATAAGATATTTTTGGAGTATTTCTATATTTAAATTTTAATGCATTTTGGCAATACTGAGCAGGACATTTCCTAAAAACACCCCTTTTTTTCTAAACAACACGTGACAAATTATGTAAAATTTGTTAAAAAAACAGTGTTGCACTGCAAAAGTGGATTACATTTGTTTCACATTTTACTCCACATTTATTTTCCTGTATATAATCATATTTATATGAAAAAATACCAGTTACACTAAATGACACCAGGTTGTGTCAATTGGTGTAACTGGTATTTTTCATAAAAATATGATACACTGCCTGACCATGTTCCTTCTACAGTCAAACACCACTGTTTGGTGAAGGAATTGACACTGAAAATCAAATATGACAGTCAACAAGGTTAAGTGAACTTGTTTTTTTCATGTTATTTCAGTTCAGAAAAAAGAACATCTGACAACAGTGAGCTAATTTCTTCTACTGTAAATTCTTTGCTGGAAAAACATTTTACAATCATGTTTCATTTTAAAATTTAACTTAACTACATTTAAGTACTTTGTATCTTAAGTTCTGATAAGAAAAAAGTCAGCTGACAACAACTCATAAGGGTGAACTGGTCTACTATTGTGAATACGGTTGATAAAAATTTAATGAGAGGAAGTTCAGAAAAAGGAACAGCTGACAACAATTAACTAATTTCTTCTACTGTAAATTCTTTGCTAACAACAATCATTTAATTTTAAAAATTTAACTCATATTTCATGTTTTGTATTTTAAATTCTGATAAGGGAAAAAGTCACCTGACAACAACAACTTGTAAGGACGTAATTGGCCCTTGCTGCAGCATTAGCATTCATTTGCATTAGCACTCTATGACGAGCCACTTTTTCCTTGTTTTTTTTTTTTTTTGTTTTTTTTTATTTGCACACAAGAAAAAGAGTATGAACAGAACAGAATACATACAGTATTGACACATATAAAAAACGATGACTTGGCCTTGGTCTCAAGATTTCAAACATAATTTTTAAAGTAAATATTCATTTTAATGATTTTTATGAATTATTAATGTTTTTCTAGGGTCATACCATTTGACATGTAAACTTACCAAACCTGACCAGAGTCTAAAAACGTCAATTTATTAGTAATTTTAAGAGATTCTAACCTTGTCATGCAGCAGTTGTGATCATCAGAGGTCCTTCTCTGTAATACCATTTCCTGTCACATGGCCTTCTTTACAATATTAACAAAACGGCCTCTTAAATGGTGGTTACACCACTTGACACTTCATGTAGTTTACTTGACTTTCATGATTCCCCAAATTAAATTTCATATTTAGAACAATTACCTTTATTGAATATAAAAAAGTAATAATTTAAAGATCATGCCAAACTAGTTGATATGGTGTTTTATTGAAAATTTTAGTGTTTTTAAGCAAGTTTAATTATTTGGTGCAAGTTTTTATGGTTACACCACTTAGACATTTTTGCCATTATCCTCTAATATATTCTCTCAAAATGTATTAAAAGCAGAAATTTTATACTGGATCCATGCAAAATTAAAGTCTGTAAGTTAATCATACATTTATTTTCAAATTTTAACCCTTTTAAATTTGACTAAACCATATGAACACAAAAAAAGTAGCGTCACGTCATTGACCCAGTAATGTCTCTACTGCCAAAAGTAAGTGAAGGATTTATCATTCATCTATATTTGCATAACAAAGTTCAACATAATATTGCTGTTTACATTTCTGTTTTCTTTTTCTAAAGATCTAGCTTTAGGATGACACAGGACAATCACACAAGAGATTAATTTCATGACACTGTACGAATCATCTATAAACTAGAAGATATCACCATCTTTTCTACTTCCTATGGTTTGCAATTAACTGTTAAATGCTGAGATACAGCCAACCAGTTTGATGACTGCAAGACTGCATGCTCATTTATGCACATTAAACACACAGCTTGAGTCTCATTCAGAACCATGACCAACCACTTCTCTCTTTTCCCTCATACAGAAAATACCAGCGCATGAACAAAGACCATTTCAATGTTATCAAATGACCAACATGTCAAAATTAACCTGTAGGTGTCTCTGGCTACAGGCTCGGTAAAAGTAAAGCTAACGTTACTCACAATCTTTCCTGCTTAAATTTATAATATTCTGTTAGTGCTTGTTGAGGAATGTCTGTAAATTAGTTCACAAACGGGACAAACTCGATGCTTCAGCAAACAGCTCTGGATATATTTTAAGCAAAACTCCAATAATCAAATTAAATAAACTCAGCTCTCTGTTTAGAGGAAGCGGCCATGTTTGTTTACACTTGTCCGTCCTAAACGCGCTGACGCTCTGACGTCAGCTCCTAATTCCACGGTTTCCATGGTGCTCAAGAAAAATATGGTTTCGGCATATTTCAAAAAGTTGCTCGGTCGCCATTTTGTTTTGTGAAATTTCGATGCCAAGTTTGGAAAAATGCTCCCCTCAAACCAAAGATATCAGTGTTTTCAATCCACTACATGACTGTTAACACATTCTGCTCCGCGAAAATTTAACAGAATTTAAATATTAAATAAAGATTTTACACCGAGGACACTCGTGTAGCTGGCTTTTCTCAACAAATGTGTTTTTTAAAGGCACACTTAACTCTTAAACATTAAACTCAATAAAATACATAAATTTTGTACTTAAAACACTTTTAAAACGCGTTTAAGTGCTTTAGCGAGATTAAATAATTGAGAGGAGTAAAAAAGTAAATGTAGAAGTTTTCTTACCTCCGCTGGGGGGGTCGGAGACACCGGCAGCTCCAATCAGCAGGCGGTCCTCCCAGGCCGGTGACCTCGGGCTGCTGCAGGCCATCTCTCAGGGACAGGTGCTGCTTCTCCACAGATGCTCGTTATCCTCTGGTCCACAGTAAACCTACAAACACTAAATTCGTTTTCCAACAGATATTCGTCTCCAACAACTCAGCTAACCAGCTTTCAGGTTTGTGCAGTAGCGTATGTCAACTCGTGTCACACTCGGATGCAAAAGGGAAGATTGACTGATTGACAGCTCTTATACCGGTACCTCGGTGCGACGTCACTCCGTTTCCATGACATTTAATGACGCACGTGCGTGTGCGTGTGAGTGAACGAGAGAGAGTTATCTATAATTTATAAATGATCAGACTTGTGTATCTAGATGTTTTTTAATAGTTAAATGATGTGTATATTAGTAAGCTGTCAAAAATCGCTTGACACAGCTTTATACTCTTTATACTCTTTATACTAATGTATATGTAGTTAAAAAAAATTAATTTCCTCTGATAAAAAAAATAAAATAAAATAATCTGTGAGTGAGCAGCCACAGCAAATATGCAGATGTAACCATATAATTCAAAGACAAATATTTTACCTGTTACTACACTAACAGAATAATAAGCAGAATATACTCCACAAATAAATATGTAGCCTACAGGTTAACACAAGACTTTATTGAGTGGGAAGAAAAATCCACAAGGTATATAGAGTAATTAAAATCAGTTCCACATTTGCCAGCTTCAACAATAAAGTGATAAACACATTAATTTATAAATAATTTTAATAAAATAACATATGTTTCATAATATGATGGGAGTATTGGATAATAAATAATTTTACTATAAATTTGATGTTAATACTTTTGTAATATTTTAAAGTAGTGTTGTTGATTTATTTCTTTTATTTTCCTTCCTTTCGTCTTCTTGCTGCATCCTGATTACTCTTGGTGGACTCGTGTTGGCTGCTATACCCTCCTGTACAGTAGGTGGCAGTATGCACCTCAGCTGTCTATTGGGCTGCGTCCTATTGACAGGACGAAGAGGATTTCATAATATTGACAAGTGAGGAGCATAATGATGTGAGCATACACACTTCTGTTTTGCCTAAATCTTAACATAACAGAGCGAACATCTCCAGATATAAGAATGGTGCCGATATGGTACATGAAAATGTTTCATGACAAGCAGCAAAGACTTTAGCGAGTTGACAACCTGCGTTATTTTGTTGTAGCTAGTAGCTTAGCATCACAAATGACCCACAGTGTGACGTCGGGGTTTTAAACGCTGCAGTTCAACTTTAATAACGACAGGCTGTGTGGTTAACTGTTGAAGGGTGCGTGCTTTAGATATGAGAATATTTGTAAGTTTTTGCCTTAAAACTGTGACATGTTAACAGGTCTCAAAGGCAGCATTTGTGTCAAACAGAGGTGAGTATGGCATGGGTGCCCCCCATTGTTTAAATACCAGAGGAGAGGTGAGCTCTCCCAAGGCCTCAGACACAGCTGTTAAAACAAATAATTAACGTGTTGCCTGGGAAACACAGCTCCTCAGGAGACAAACCAGCATGGGAACAAAGTCCACAAAGACATGCTGTCACTGTCATGTGCTTCCCTCTGTTTCTACATGTTATGATATTCAAGCTGTGGTCTACATGCACAGCCAAGATTCAGCAAACGGCACAGTACCTGAAGATAATAAAGAAGGTTTTTGTGTTTAACGCATAGCTTGTAGTTTAAATCCTTGTACGGGTGATCAAAGTGTTATAAGCTCATTTTCAGCAGCGTCACATGAATCAGTCTTTCCTGTTTTTCTTGTTTTCCAGGAGCCTTGACCTGATGTCGACAGTGGAGATCTGAGAGATTTCGCATCATGGAGGCTGTAGTTAACTTCCTAAATGCATTCCACATCAAGGCCAGTGGATTGTCTGTGACACTCAGCCTCTTCCTCATCTTTCTGGGTCTTCTGTACTGGTGAGTAAATGTTTCAGATCTCTGTCTGTTTGTGATGCCGACGCTGCTGTGGAACATCAGACCAGTGATCTAATAATGCCATAAAGCACACTCAAACACCTCAAAATATTGGAAACCAGCCTGGGAATGAATGAATGAAGGGTTGATCGTGCTCCAACAACAACCCCTCAAATCACACATGCACACATCAGTCACGATTTGTAGAGCTGATAGGGCAAAAGACTGTGATAGTATATCAATGGGCAGAGTATTTGGGAAAATGTTGTATATTCCTCACTGTATTTGCTTTTCATTCATCTTCTAGGTATTCAATTTACCCTTATTCAGTCCTTTCTCGATGTGGCATCAAACATCCAAAGCCAGTACCTTTCTATGGCAACATATTCATGTTTCGCCAGGTAAGCTATTGCTAGTATTATTATTATTATTATTATTATTGTTTTGATTATTAGACTGTTAGACTATGAGCACCATTTTACCCACTGATGAGAAAAATTGACATTCCAATATATTACCGCACTTTGTCAGATTTCCACATTAAAACACTCTGAAAAGCAGCAATATTTTATGTACCGTATAACCCCCAGATGGGTTACTTTATTAATAATTACATTGTGTGCTTGTGTTGTTTCATCTCAACCTTTGATTTTCTGGAGCGACAAGGTCATCAGGATTGTTTGGTACTGTGGTTTACTACTCACTTGCTAAAAAATAGAAAGAGAAACACACCTCAGTGAAGAATATCCACTTAAAAGGTGAATCAAATAAAAAAGACTGGGGCAGATAGTAGAAGAATACTGACAAAGATCTAACTTGCAACAGCTGATTATTTAATCTACTGATATGGATTAAATTACATTGAAAAGCTCATTAACCTTTATCCACAATCTAGGTATAGTAGTTTAGGATTTATCATTATTATTTTGCAGAATTTGTGAAGCTGTGCCACTTGTACCTGATTCATTAAAGAAGTACTGTAGAATAATTTTTAAGCATTTCATCATGGTCTCTTACTGCAAAATTGTATAACTGCTATTGCGTGTGGTTGCCAGTTTGGCATAAAATAATAACTGAACTCAAAACCTGACACAAGACCTTTTGATTTATATTTTTGTTTTTTTTATCTTTGGGGAGTCATTGAACATCTAAGAGACCTGAAAGTTGATGTGAGACGGTGTTGCTGATCATTTTGGTATACCTGCAGTGTACAGAATATCTGCGCCTGGTTGTTTAAGGAAAGATTCTAGCAAATGTATTATTGATTTTTGTATGTGGTGCCTTCTCTTTATGAAAAGTGTTTTCTATACAGACAATTACAAGGGATGTATTTTGCTCTAGATCATTTGAGAAGGCCTGACCGATGCTTTCACTGACAGGATACTTCTCTATAAGCACTGGCATGACTAACCAGTGACCTCTACTGGCTTGGCTTGGCACTGATCAGCACTTTCTCAATAGGATTATAACTTTGCCTTTTCTCATGACAGCTCAGCTTTCCTCCAGTGTTGAATAAACCTGTTTAATAGCTAAATCCATCCTAAAATCTTTTACAATGCAAATTGTTTTGTATGAACTATCTGGTGGAATTTGTTAGTTTTTTCATCTGTTCTGATTTTTTTCTATATTCTATTTTCAGGGGTTTTTCAAACCTATGAATGATCTCATAAAGACACACGGCAGAGTTTGTGGGCAAGTAGAAGAAATACTTTCTTCACCAGCATCTGATAAAATGATGGTCTGAACTTTTTATTGATTTTGATTCTTTCATATTGTAAAATGAAATGAACACTTGCTTGGTATAATCCTACATAGGCAGCACTATGTTTGTTGTCCGATCTGACTGAGACTCTTCTTGGTATATTTTAGGTACTATTTGGGCCGGAGAGCGGTGGTGGTGATAGCAGACCCTGACATGCTCAGACAAGTGATGGTCAGGGACTTCAGCAGCTTCCCAAACAGAATGGTGAGGACATGAATCAAAGCATGCACATGTAGACTTTGTGCTCACTCATGATTTTAACATGAGTTTTAATGATGTAATGACAAAATGTCTGTGTCTGTACTCTCCTGTTTCTCTGTGCAGACTGTTCGCTTTGCCACCAAGCCTATGACTGACTGTCTGCTCATGCTAAGAAATGAACAGTGGAAGAGAGTGCGGAGCATCCTGACCCCATCATTCAGTGCTGCCAAGATGAAAGTGGTGAGATATGAATGCGCCAATGACAATCAGTTGATATTTATTACAAGGGATGTTATTCTATTCTCACTAAAGAGGTGCTTTCACATTCCTCTACTGAGGGGGGCGATGTCTGTGCACTTCCCTAAAACCTGAGATTCAAACTTATCCAAGGCAAGCTAGCTTAGATACATCCCAACGAGTATTACTGTCTTTTCTGTTTTCCTACAGATGGTTCCACTTATCAACACAGCCACCGATGCGCTGATGAGCAACTTCAATGCATTCGCTGAGTCAGGAGAGGCCTTTGACATCCACAAGTAATCACACACACAATAGACATAGGCTACTAGGATTTTGGTGTGTTTTTTTTAACCTCCCTAATTTGTTTTTGTTTGTGTGCATGTTTTGCAGGTGTTTTGGCTGCTTCACTATGGATGTTATTGCCAGTGTGGCATTTGCAACTCAGGTTGACTCACAAAACAACCCAGATGACCCATTTGTCCGCCATGCGCAGATGTTCTTCTCCTTTTCTTTCTTCAGGCCCATCATGCTGTTTTTCAGTCAGTCAAATCTATTTATAATGTTATTTATATGTATAAATTATTACATTAAAGACATGTACATAGGACATTAATGTAGGAATGCAATGAAGGCAAAGGAATAAAACATTAATACATCGACAAGAAACGGGAGGGTTTACTATCTTTTATCTGGGGACAATAATTTTGAAGACGGTTTAGCATAAAAAAGACAAACATGTAATGATTGTGCAGTCATATGTGAATGTGTGAAGTATGCATTTCAGTTTGAGTTCCACCAACAAATTTGGTTTGTGTGTCCAGTTGCATTTCCATTCATCATGGCTCCTCTAGCCAAACTCATCCCCAACAAAAGACGAGACCAGATGAACAAGTTCTTCATCGACAGCATTCAGAAGATCATCAAGCAGAGAGAGGAGCAGCCTCCTGAACAGGTGAATCTGATGGACATTTAATAATCTTAAATACAGGAAGATGAATACCAAAAGATTTTTTCTGTGGCATGTAGAGGCGTCAAGACTTCCTTCAGCTGATGTTGGATGCACGAACCAGCAAGGAGAGTGTGTCTTTGGAACACTTTGACACAGCGAGCCATGTCAGCGAGCTGGATGACAGGAACCAGCAGACACAACAGTCGGCCTCTGATCAGGACGACCGTCCTCACCCACAGGAGCCTCCTACCAGGCGTCCACAGAAGAAGATGATAACTGAAGATGAGATCGTGGGTCAGGCTTTTGTTTTTCTTTTAGCGGGCTATGAAACCAGCAGCAACACGTTGGCCTTTACCTGCTACCTCCTGGCCCTCCACCCCGAATGTCAAAGCAAAGTACAGGAAGAGGTGGATGATTTCTTCACCAGACATGTGAGTGTGTTACATTAATTTGATCTCATTTTCTTCAGTTAGTTAGGACATAAGGTTTGTGGACAGTCGTCAATTTGTCCCACAGTGAGACAAATTCAGTGCACACAGACTTTTTTCCTTTAAAACTCCTACTGAATTATCTTGAATTAATTTTGTGTTTTCCTTTTTGTTGTAGGAATCACCAGACTACACAAATGTTCAGGAGCTGAAGTACTTAGATATGGTTATAAGTGAAGCACTGCGCCTCTACCCTCCTGGGTTCAGGTAAATTAAGAACATTAAATTAGGATAACAAATGCATGTTTCTTAGATTTAGTGCTGTCACAAGGAGCAAGTTCACTTATTACTGTACATACATACAGTAGGTTTTTAGTTAGGTTTGTACTAATCAAAACCGCACAGGAATCACGTGGAGAAAAGAAGGAGAAAGGTATATAAAACATGCATCCATGGCATTTTGTCCCATAAAGGTTTGCCAGAGACATCAACCAGGACTGTGTGGTGAACGGCCAGTTCCTCCCTAAAGGAGCAACACTTGAGATCCCAGCGGGCTTCCTCCACTACGACCCAGAGCATTGGCCGGAGCCTGAGAAGTTCATCCCTGAGCGGTAGGAGGCTGTTCTTACAGTAAATAACCAAAGTTATAGTGCCTGCACCAGACATTTTAATATGTTGCAGTAGGAAAAGCACAGGTGTAAATAATAAATGAATGATGGCCGAATTTTAATTAGAGGGTTCAGTTTCAGGTCCTGGTGTTGTGCATGCTGACTCACTGTCACATCCTACTGAGACACTTGAATAGATTGATGCTATCATTAATGTTATTAATAACACCTGTGCTTTTCCTACTGTGACAAGTCAAAACATGTCTGCTGTTAAAAAGGCCTGTAGGCTATTTGTGGGTTAACATGATGTCATGGCAGTGAATAGCTATGGCACAAGGACAACTAATAGCTGGTGGTGTCTTAACTGGTATTGACATGAATGGCTAACAAAATAAATCTTACTGTTTTATACCTTAAAGAAAATGAACCTCATGCAACTTGCAGTTTACAAATGCAAACACATTTCTTTTATTCCTTTATCTTGTTACACCAGTTGAAGACTTTAGCATTAACACGTACAGCATATACCACCTTGAAACTCTCTTCCGTCATACATGTCTAACACTGCTGTAACAAAGGCAGTAAGATCCCTATACTGCGCTAAATGAAATGCACTACTGTAATACTGATTAACTCCCATTTCTACTCCTTTTATTTCAAACTATAATATGTGGTTGATCTCCAGATTCACGCCAGAGGCCAAGGCCGGTCGACATCCGTTTGTATACCTGCCGTTCGGGGCCGGTCCCCGTAACTGTGTGGGAAAGAGGCTTGCCCAGCTGGAAATCAAAATGGCATTAGTGCGTCTGTTCCACAGATTCAGCATTGTGGCCTGCTCTGAGACCAAGGTGGGTCTGACACTGACCCTATTTGAGTCTTAAATGATTTATACACACAGATGACGCATGCGCAAAGTACACATGCATTTTAAAAAAGCATCTGTGTAAATGATTCCAACAAGAAATATAGAATCAGATGGAGTGTAGTCATAGATGCGATGTTATGTTCACTTTGGGGTTTACCAAGATATTAAACTCAACAAGAAGACAAATCACTATATAGAGTGAGTGTGTAACTGCACAATGTGATTTTGCCAAGTAAAACGTGCTCCTGGACCAACATCCCACATTGCGTTCCTGGACCAATCAACAAATCACAGCCCTTTGACATCATCAGTGTGCTGCTCCTGTGCTTCTTTCAAAATTCCTTTATTATTCTTCAGAGCTAAGCTAGTTTCCCAAATTGAAGTTAGTACAATTAAACAAAGACCTCAGTAACGCTGAACAAAAGTCTTAAAAGCTACTGCAGGGTTAGCAAGCCAGCTTGCTAACTACGTAGGCTATGCTAACAAGTAAACTTGCCAATGGACTAGAATATTAGTGGGTTAGCTTGCTAAGTAGGTATGCTACGCTAACAAGTAAGCTTGCCAACAGGCTAGAGTATTAGCAAGTTAGCTTGCTAACTAGGTAGACTACGCTATCAAGTAAGCTTGCCAATAGACTAGAGTATTCGCAAGTTAGCTTGCTAACTAGGTAGACTATGCTAACAAGTAAGCTTGTCAATAGGCTAGAGCATTAGCAAGTTAGATTGCTAACTAGGTATTTTTTTATTGCTAACTAGGTATGCTACACTAACAAGTAAGCTTGCCAACAGGCTGTAGTATTGGCAAGTTAGCTTGCTAACTAGGTAGACTATGCTAACAAGTAAGCTTGCCAATAGGCAAGAGTATTAGAAAGTTAGCTTGCTAATTAAGTAGGCTATGCTAACAAGTAAGTTTGCCAGTTGGCTAAAGTATTAGCAAGGTAGCTTGCTAACTAGGTAGGCTATGCTGATATGTAAGCTTGCCAACAGGCTAATATATTGATCACTACCAAAGAGTAGGGATAATAGCATTTTGCAGTTGCAAATTCCTGCAATTAACACATTTTCCCTTCTTTTATTCCATGTTGATCCTGGATGGATTTGTTTAGGTTTTCCAGGGCCATCATCATCATCATCATCATCATCATGCTGATTCTGGATCATTTGTTTATGTTGACATCAACAAAGCAGTGATGGTCCTGGATCAACATGGTGATGAAAGTTCTGGATCAACATAAATTAATGATCTAGCATAAAGATGATGACGATCGTTCTGGATCAACAAACAGATTATCCAGGGTCAACGTGATGATGATGGTCCTGGATCAACAGGAGCACTGCAATCTTGTAAAAAACAACTTTTGAATAGGTCGTTAAAAAGGAGGGAAAATGTGTGCCTTGTAGGTCTGCAAAATGTTATTAACCTTACTCTTAATGTTAACAAACAATATTTTAGCCTATTGGCAAGCTTACTTGTTAGCATAGCCTACCTATTTAGCAAGCTAACTCGCTAATATTCTGGTCTAATGGCAAGTTTACTTGTTAGCATAGCTTACCTAGTCAGCAAGCTACCCCGCTATTATTCTATTCTAATGGCAAGTTTACTCATTAGCATAGCCAAGCTAGTTAGCAAGCTAACTCGCTAACCCCGCAGCAGCTTATTAGGTTTTTGCTCAGTGTTACCGAGGATTTTGTTTAACTGTCCTAACATCAATTTGGAACTAGCTTAGCTCTGAAGAAGCACAAAGGAATTTTGAAAGAAGCACAGGAACAGCACACTGATGATGCCAGAGGGCTGTGACTGGTTGACTGTAGGGATGGGCAACACAAGCACTACAACAACACTATTCGAAAATCGTGGCAACTCTTCGACAATTTTTCAAACCCCCCCCCCCCCGGAGCGACGCACACAGAGATCCATTTAAAGGCCCGAACACACTGGGGCGGAACGGACTCCGCGGAGGTCCGCGCGGACTCAAAGCGGACGTCCGCAAGCCCTGTGCGCACATTAAAAAATCGATTTTTCAAAAATAAAACAACTATTCGAAATTCGAAAATCGTGACCCATCCCTAGTTGATTGCAATTTTGGTCTTGGAATGTGACGTGGGATGTCGATCTGGGAGCACGTCCTAAGTGGCAAAATCTCATTGTGAATGTGTAACTGTTTCCCTCTCGGTGTTGACATGGGCAAAAGCTGCTTGGACTATCCATATTAATGTAATTTTGTGTTTTTTTTTCCTTGTCAACATATATAATTGATTATCAATACAAATTTATGGATTTTTGAGGTTGCTGTAATTTGCACAAACCTTAACCAATGGCTAATGATGTAAAAGTCATAATTCAATATGCATCTATCAGCTATTTACATGTGTGGTAATGAACAAAATCCTAAATTTAGAATACATGTACAATGTATGAAAGATGTTTCTGTAACATGTGGTATTCTTCTCTTTGTGCAGGTTCCTCTTGAGTTAAAGTCATCAAGCACCCTAGGACCTAAAAATGGGATATTTGTGAAAATTAAAAGAAGAGACACGGACACGGAAGGCCAAGTGAATTCTCCTACAGACAGTTAGAAGTTCATCATCATGAGTGGTTGAATAACTTTGTGAACAGTTACAAAGAAGACTGTGGGTCCATGTTGTAACAATGACCCACAGTGTCAGAGTTATGGCTCTGTTCCTTTACATGAAAATATTTCCATAGCTGGCCTAAACATGATCAAGTCAATTATTAGTTACAATACACTGTATACCTAAATTACAGTGTTCATCTAGTGCATGAACTAGAAAGTGGATTCAAGATGAGACAGGAGTAAAGGAGGAGTCTCTCAGCCTGTAGCAATATACTTTTTTAATAGATTTTGAACAGGAAGCAACACTGCTGTCTTTTATAAAAGGTTATTTAGGGACGGTATTTTTTCATTAACCATTAAACTGAACAGTGGGTTTAATTTCATGATAACCAGGATTTCTTATTAATTTCTAAGTGCATTTAAATATTCTTTTATGGTCCTTCAGAGTTACTGCTGTTAATTCATTGAACAATTCATTGAAGTGTGTAGTGAAATAAAAAAAAATATGTGAGCCTATAGAAACAATTCAACCAGAAAACCCAAAATGCTACAGCGCTCCAGATCATCACCTGAAGCTGAAAGTTTGCACATTCCTTAACCAAATGAGCAGTCTGTTGTTTATTGACTGAGCTGCTCGCTTTTCTGCTGCTAACTTTACTACTATTTCTGCCCATGAATGGGTTAATTAATAATTAACTATCATACAGTAACAGATTTCCAATGTTTATACAGGCAGCGGTACATTTTTTGGCAAGAGGATAGACTTATTGTGTTAGGTTTTACTTTATATTTGAATATACTGAAGACTTTCATGATGCTTAACATAGCACTGTCAAGGGTCAGTTGAAAGCTGCTATTTTTAAAGAGAAAGAAGTTGTTTGTTAAAGGAAATCCTTGTTTCTATTCCCGATAATCTGAATCAGCATTTATCATGTCTCAGGAGAAACTGGGTCAAACTAATTCAAATTTCTCAGTAGAAGCGAAAGCATTTTATTACTTTTCTCTTGATGACATCATTCACTATTTTTTACACTACATTTACACCTTATTGAAACAAAAACTGTTTCTCATGATAGTAGGTTAGTTTGAGAATCATTCTGAGATGCTTGAGAATTGCAGTCCTAAATTAATTTTAATTGTGAATGTATACAATAAGGGTGATTTACGGATGATTTATTCAAATGAAACAATATTCAGCAGTTGTGATTAAAGACAGGACTGTATGTGCCTGTTTGATGTACATTTAAAAAGGGTCAAATGCCACTTATGTGTAATTAAATATTACCACACGATGGGATTTTTCTGTGTTTTGCTTTGTTCTATTATAATATAATCACACTTACTTCTTTATTGGTAGTTTATAATATGTTTATTACATAACAACCAGTTAATTTCATTTCACATCTGAACACCAGACTATTTGTTGGCCTCAGTATCCTTAATTATCACAACAACAAAGACACCTCTCACAAGAATAGACGTTGGCTAAGGAAGACATTTTCTATTGGAATACAGTCTCTATTAAGTGATACTTAATCCATGCACCAAAACACACTGTAAAAACTATAGAGAAAAATACCCTTAATCATTTCCATTTTCTCCCCCTTTACACATGATGGAGTATTCTTTCTTAACATATTAAATGCTTGTATTTTTACATTGTGGTATTATTACTTTTACCTCAGTGAGAGATCTGAATGCTTACTCCACCACTGTGAAAACCCCACAAGCCTCTAAGAAAGCCAGGAACTGCGTCCAGTCAAAGTAAAGAGTGTCCCATTATAGAGTTTCACCCCATTCAGCACAGGAATCGACAACATCGTGACTTAGGAGTAGTCGATAACATACTCTGGATAAATTTGTTGCTTTTCAAAGATAACGTAAATGCTGGGGTCGCTCAAGCGGTCAACACAGCTGTCGTAAAAGGTTCTGCTGTTTCCCTTTGCTGGGGGCCGGACGTAGCTGCTGCTTCCCCTGGTGTACTCTCCCACCAGGATCAGGGCGACAAACATGATCTTGTTCAGGCTTCCTTTGGCCCTGGCGTATCTGTCTGAGTAGGACGCATCTCTGGCAAAGTAGCTCCCTAAAAAATAAGAGTGCGTTACTACTGATACAGTCCAAAACAAAAAGTATGATAGGTTCTTTTATACTGCCATGGTAAAATGTGCTGCTTTTTCAGTTCTAAAAGCCTGATGGACCTGGAATTAAAGAATTTACTGCTCCAACATTTTACTGTACCTTTGCCATATGCTGTGCCATGGACTCCACACATCCTCCAGTCAAAGTTCTGCTCACAGATGGCCTCAATCAGGGACTCATCTGTGCCGTGGAACAAGTACTTTTCATTCACAGAGTTCCCTCCGTTTCTCTCCTTCATCTGCTCTCTCTGCCTGAACACAAAAAAACATAGATGTGATGACAGCTCAGATTTGGGTGATAATCTTTAAGTTTATCACTACAAGTCGAGTGACCCCATTCCCATTATGTTCATACTGTCATTTGATACATCTGTGTTGTAAAAATATCAATTATAGGTCCTTTGAGCCAAAAAGGCTGGTCTATGATTTACCACTGAAAGACTTTCCACAGAGATGGGTTCTGGATCCTCTGGATGCTGTTAATTTTACTGTGGGGCATGGTGTCCTTAAACAGCTTCTCAATCATATCATACGTCTTTGCAAATGTGGTGAGAGGTACGAGCTGAAAGATAAGAGAAACAGGCCATACATAATGGGAATAAATAAACGTTCAATGTTCAAGTTGGAACAAAACAAGGAAAAACAAACATTAAGCACAGTATAGCTGCCATATAAAGGCAGATGAAGTTTCTTGGCACAGGAAAACTTTAAAAGGGATGCTGACAAGTAGGAGTCAATCCAAGAGGGTGGCATTAATTAACAAGGGGTTTACTGAAACGAAGGCAGAAATGGAACAAGGAAAATTCAACAAAACTAAATCAAGCTGAGTCAAAACTCATGACAGCTGCCACCTCCTTCTTCCCCCCTAATCTACTAAATGGCATTTTACATTCTCAGCCTCATCTAACTGGAACCTACCACCTGCATTGGTAAGCACAGGGCTAGCTAAACAGGGTGAGCATATCCAAATCAAACAAAGCAATTAAACAATTAAAGGACAACTTCAGTATTTTTCACCCTGGACCCTATTTTCACATGATTTTGTGTCTAAGTGACTAATAGGAATAACAATTTTTGAAGTTAGTCCGGTACCGAACAAGAAGGGAAGCAGCTGCTAAACAGGCTACAATGTAATTACTCGGGGCATGTGCACTCTCTCAATTTACATACACTGAAATCGCTTTTTTTTTTTTACACTGACAAGCTACAATTACTATTCTTAGTGTCTAACAACATAATGGAAAGGATCCTACAAAAGTCGACCTTTTCATTAAAAAATAAGATCATTTTTGTTCAACCTGGCCAAACCCACCAGATTCCATTTAAAAAAACAGTAATTTTATCACTGTTAAACACAATGTATTTAAAGTCGACAAACAAAATTAAATTCACAAAAACATCTTGGTTAATCTTTCCACTGTTCCGACAATTACCACCTCTGATTTGACTGAAATAAACCCTTAATTCACCCAGTTAGATGTGAACGTATCCCGGCTTTATACACGCTAAAATTACAGCTTATTTAAATGGAGTCTGGTGGGTTTAACAAATAAGATTTCAGGAATGTTTCTATTTAAACAAAAAGGCTCTTACTGTTAACACAAAGGTCTATCTCATTTATCAGACACTTAAAATAGCCTGTCAGTGGCAAAAACAAGCACTTTTAGTAGACGAACACTGACGGTGCACAAACGCCCCAACTGTTTACTTTGCAGCCTGTTTCGCCACTGCCAGCTGCAGCCCTCTCACTCAATACTGGACCAATTCCAAAAACTGTTTCCACTATTCACTTAGACACAAAAACACCAGAAAATGAGGTCCAGGTTGAAAAAATACCAAAATTACCCTTTAATGTGCTCTGAGTTACTGCAGACATCACAATTTATCTGTGGGCACCCATACATACCAGATGAGCAAACCAAATGTCTAAGAACGTAATTCACTGCAGAGCTATCTTACCCATCGTCCTACGTCTTAACAGGACCCAGCCCTTCTCTGCTAACAAGAAGTAATAATGCAAGCCTGTTTACACTGTCCCTGTTTGAGCAGCTGATCTACCCCAACATCCCAGGCAGAACAACAACAACAAAAACATACAGACAACAGATCAAAATAATACAGGCCATTAAGATACCTTGTATCCAAAATCCGGGAGGGCATTCTTGTCCCAGTAAGATGGGAAACTGTCAGCTGTAGAGGAGCTGTGAGATGATGATGCACTACAGAGGAGACAAACATTATAACTGACAAGTGAAGTCACTTGAGACACAGGAATCCAAAACGGCAATGTCAGAATTGCAAGAATTATCTTAAAACCTCCATCTATAACTAAATCAAAAATACCTGTTAAGCTTCACCTCCACATCCTGAGCAGACACAAAGCGAGGCCTCCTTCTGACCTCTCGCTTGGTTTGGTATTTTACATTCTGCTGATACATCTGATCGGCTCCCGCTGCACCTTTGAAGTGGAGGATATACTGCTGTTTGCCAGCACTGAAAGGAATCTCTGTGTCTCTGTCTGCCAGGTACACATTCTCCAGAGTTTGAGAAGTGACAGAAGCTGGTGTCTCATCATCACCCTACAGACAAAAAAAACACAGATGTAAGATGTGCTAGTGATGAAATGGGAAAAATTAATTAGTTAAGAGAGGAATGTAGCAAATCAAAATGTTTTTGTTTGACTGACCTGTCCAAATTCCAGCCAATTCCCGCTGTCATCCTTCCAGTACCAAAGCCACTGTGTTGTAAGAATGAAGTGAGGGGGCTTTGAGACAGAGGAGGCAGTGGACAGGCGGCGAACTGCAGACCCTCCATATGTCATTGTCATGAAGTCAACTGACTGCACACTGGGGGATGCAGAGCTGAAAGCAAGTACTGACAGTTAATCAACAATCTCCTTCAGGAGGGGTAGACATTTCTAAAAAAACTAACGTGAATAAATGGTTTGAGACGAATTTGTTGCTCTAGAATACTTTTATAAACCAGACAGGTGTGTGTGTGTGTGTCTCGGTTTCTTCATCCATGCACCTTTGAAGAGTCAGAAATCTGAAAATCCCTAAGGGGGATGATGGAGGATCAGTGCAGCTTGTGCCATGCTCTGGGTCACAGTAGGCCTTCTCAATCTCCTCCATATTAGGCAGGTCCTTCCAGGTCACACCATCAATGTTCAACACTTGCCATCTGTAAGGCAGGTGCCAATGGACACGAGCACACTTGTCTGTGGGAATAAACAATAAAACAGAAGCAGTGGTAGATATAATCATCACACAGATCTACACACATGTATTGATAAGTTACTGCAGATGTGACTAGTTTCAGTGTTACCCTTGAAGCTGCAGTGTCTGCGGATGAAGAAGAGGCAGATTTCATTCCTCTCAGCATCGCTCAGGGGTTTGGTTGGCAAAGTAGCTCTAGTAGGGGATCCAGGGTTGTGTTGGGGAGGCTGCCGAGTGGGGACTCTCACCTCTGGCAGCACTGCTGGAGACACAGATACATGCATCAGATCTGTTGTGCAGAATAACACCAACTTAAGTTAAGTTCAAAAAGTTTTCTTTTCAACTCCTTATTCTTTACCAGGTACAGCAGCAGCTGGTCTCGCCTGTTGACCCGAGATGATGAATTTATTTCTGTAGATCCAAAAAAGGTTTCTGATATTCTCCTGACTGAATCCTTTGAGGAGCTTCATTCCCTGCGCGTCAACATTATGGTTTCTTTTACATGAAGAGCCAAACTTGCAGTCACCCTGGAGATAGTGCAGGCAGATGTGAAGCTTGGTGCAGGAAGTGGTGAACCTGCAGGAACCGTGCAAATCGGTGCCCTTGTTGTAATGTTGGCAGATCTAGAGGGGTGTGTAGAGGGCCGGTGACCATGTTATTGCAACAAATATGTATGACAGTCAGTCAGAAATGATTCTGAATTTACACCTCTGTCTCCTGCTGTTACCAGTACAACTTACCTCAGGAAGCAGATATGGATCATTCTGCAGTAACAGCTGGAACAGCTGTTTATCCGTCAATTCTTGAAGACCATGTCTTTTCAAACGCTCTACATTGTATGGTAAATCCAGACTATGGGGATTTTTACACTTGAGTCTGAAAAATAACAAAATGAATAAAATATAATGTCAGTGCACGCTTTTAGTTTTACAGAATTAACCACT